TACATTTGCATGTTTACGTATATATACATATATATGTATATCTCTATACACGCATACACATGTCACCTTCCCTTCTATTACGTTCTCTGTACGTTCTACGATTGTCTCTCTGCATTCGATAGGATACGAGCGAAGTATCGATTTCCAAAAAACAAAAAAGAAAAAAAAATAATAATAATGGAAACGCGCACGACGAATTTTATTCGTTTTTTAACAACAACAAAATAAAAAAAAAAAGAATTGTTGAATTAACAGATGTACTCGTTAGCAATACCTGCTAGTTTTTATTTAGAAAAATGTACAGAGAAAAACAACATAAAAAACACTGACGCAATATTCGTTTTATTGGTCTTATGGATGATCTCTATGAATGAAATTTCTTTTCATTGACAACGAGGTAAGAGAATCGATCTATATACTTAAGTATTAAAATTTAATGAAATAATTTTAAGAAAAAAAAAAGAAAAGAAAATTTTTAACTGAAAAAGATTGCGTCATGTGAGGACAAAAAGATGAACGAAGAGAAAAAAAAATATTATGTGAAAATGCGCATACATGGGGGATGGTATCGTAATATCGATCACATGTGTAATCATAATTAATTATAATTACAGAACATTTCCCATTACCTTGTTTTTAATCAGTTCATATTTCACGTGTTTCTGTCTCTTACCAATTTAAGAGAAAATTGTAATTACTTTCAAAAACCAAAACGTACAGGTCATTAATAATATTTCGATGGAAATACTTTCCTCGGTATAATAACGACTCATTATTATCTTCCTTGTTTCATTTTAATTAACCAAACCAACTTGCAATATTAGATTTCCTCGACAGATAGGCAATAAAAAAAAAAGAAAATAAATAACACGAGTAAAATAATCGTTATTGGTAAAATAACATTTACGAATGAATTGAGTCTCACAACAGTGATTATTTAATTGATACGTTCAGAAACCAACGGATTAAATCAATTAACTGATATTTTTTTATAAATTTTAATGAAATACACAATACTCTTCGTAGTTATAACAAAACTTATTCGTTATTTCGTTTTCTTTTTTATTTTCTTCACCTACGAAAAACGCAGAAATACTAAAAAAATTTTAAAATGCAATCAATGTCACAATAAATATTTATATTTTCGTATTTTATTTTATTACAGAACCGATCAGTGCAAATAAAAATATTATAAACACATCTGATAAAACATAATCAATAAAAACTATTAATTTTTTCACTATTTGTTTTCTTAATTAAACCTTCCTTCAACCCCAATTTTTGACTCCCGAACGAGTCAATTATGATTTAACGAAATAATCCATAATAATTTAAATTAATTATATAAAATATAATTATATATAAAAAATATATATATATTTTTTTTAATAATTAGAATAAATAAAGATTAGATAATTAGATAAAATATAAAGGATCGTAGAAAGGAGGATAAAAAATGAGGTGATTAAAAAAAAAGAAATGAAAACAGAGATATAAAGATAAAAGGAAAGAAAAGAAGGAGAAAAAAAGAGACGCTGAAAGGACCCGTTATGGCGACCGTGTTGCATCGCATTAACCAATCGACCGAGTGATCTTGATCCCATCTCTCACCTTGATATTTCCTCTCTCTCTCTCTCTTTTTCACACACATATACACATACACACTATCTTGCGGTGAACAGAACTTAATCTCGAACGTGATCTGGCCTCCAACATGAGCATACACTCCCTSTCTCTTTCTCTCTCTCTCTCTTTTTCTCTTTTCATTCTCCCTCGAGAAGATTCGCCTGAAGCGTTTTCTTAGAATTTATAACTGTGCGGGTAGTGTTAAATGCGAATATCTTCAACGGTAGAGAACATTTTCATTTTGAATGACTTTTCTCAGTTGTTAGAGAAGAATATTAGAAATTTTTGTTGAATAATGCATAATCTAATATTTATTTTCTATCCCCACCGCCCCCCGGAAACGAATTATATTAAATTATGTGAAACACGTAATATAATTTATACTGTTGTACGGGTTTCATTGTGTATTATTGTGATGATATAAAAGGGGGTTAATGTATTATAATAAATAATGATCCACCATTTCCTTTTTATAGAAATAGGGCTTCAATGAATCTGTATATTATTATAAACAAAATTTAGTTTTGTAAAGTTTTTAAACTTTTAAATTATTGTCTTGTTCGTTTTATATTAACACACTTTTATTTTGTCATAAAGGTTTAATTTTTAAACTCTTATCACTTCTATGTCGAGTGTAACTCGACATTATATAAAACTATTTTTAAAATCATTTCTAATGTTTCAATTAAGATGTAAAAAGGGTTATTATAACAGTTACTTTATATTTGGTCAATAAAAAATTTTGTAGGTAATATTTATTTCTTAATAGATATTTTAAAGTAATATAATATAAAAAATTTTAATTATTTTTCATTTACCCAAAATTATTTGATGAATTAAAAACAAATTAAATATAAATGAGTAAAAAATCGTGATTTTCATGAAATTATTTTATTACATACTTTTACCTATGCAATATTAAATGGTAAATTTGTTTGAAAGTATTATAACTTTTTTTCAAAGAAAAATAACTGTTATTAACCATCTAAGAACTTCTTCCTATTTAAAAAAAAAAATAAAAATAAAAATTACCTATTTATAAAAAAATTAATGAAATAAAAATTTCAATGTAATAGAAAATTAGTAAGAAAAATGCATCAAAACTAATTGAAAATTTGAAGTTTCTTTCAAAACTTGCTTAACGGAATAATAAATTATAATATGACAAAAACTATAACTTACCTAAAGGTCCACCAGATGTTGAAGCACATAGTATTCAGCCAGAAGAAAGCAGCCAAAAAGAAGAAGTGAGCCATGATAGCTGAAACAAAGGAGAAAATAGGTTACACAAGGTAGACAGAATATATAACTATATACATATGTAAGGTTATACAAAGTGTAAGTATATCTTTCTTAGTTGGGTCAAAGATGAAACCATCTAAAAGCTATTAACTTCCTTTGACTTAAAAGGTACTCGTTCTCTTTCTCATTTTCCTTCAATAGAAAAAGAAGGGATATTTAATTATAGAAGATAGTGCCATCGATCTTTCGATCATAAAATTCCGTCACGTGCAAGTGTGTTGCATTGGTGCACCAATGAGATTAAAATACCGTTTGCACGAGTGTATGTATGTATATATGTATGTGTATGTATGTATGAGAGATTCGTCTATTTCTTAAATTAACCTTCCAAGTTAGTACAAAGAGTCTCTCTGTACTGAACTAAGTGATGGATGCATTGTTTTCTTTTTTTAGAGTAGGAGAATTAACCTTTGAGGATTATTTCAGTATTCTAGAAAATTTACTATTGTTTTCTTCCTTGAACTTTATATATATACCAGGGATACTCCGGCCATGCGTTGCTGTGGCTTTGTTATAAAATGTTGATTTTATAATTCTATATTATTTAGTAAATTATAACGACACACAAAAAAATACCATAATTAGAATGGAATACAAAAAATAATAATACTCGAAAAAATATAAAAAACAAGGATAGTTATGTCATATGTAAATTCGAAAGAAGCTTGTAACCTTAAAAAAATGAAATAACTGAATTGTGATATAATGTCATCTATTAAAAATTTAGAGTACCAGATAATCTTTAAATAACTAATCCTTAAATTAGCAAAAAAAAATAAAAATAATCGCGATAAAAACTATCCTTTATACTAATTAATTATAAATTGAAAAAAACGTATAAAATAAAAAAAATTTCATTAAAAAAGGTTCAGTAGTTTCGAAGTTCATTGGAAACCAGCAATGTGACACTGAATTTTTATCTGTAAAGATATATATATTTTTGTATAAAGAAAAATAGAACTATTTCTATCAAATATTTAACGGGAACGATTTACTTTAGGAAACGATAAAGAGAAGAAAAAAAAAAGAAAAGTATTCTCCCTAAAATTGAAGATCGTTTGTAGAGTCTTCGAAGAGATTTCTGATTTCCTTCTCCATAGGTATCATATATTATTCGAAGTTAGATTTCCCCTTCAAAGTTTCTTATGCAGGCCACAATAATCGTACTGGAATGGCATTCCCTTCTAACGATATATATCTCACGCAGGAACCTTTAGAAAGGGCTAGGAGAAGCGAACAAAAGGGCCGTTAAGTCGCATCGAAGGCGTTCTCGCGACTCCTCTTAAAGATTCATGCAGCGAAGACGACGAATCTTTATAAGGACCCAAGGACGATAAAGGGACGGAAAGGGTGAAGAGAGAAGAAATTGAGGGTCCGCGCGAGATCACCGTAGCAAACAAAACTCTGTTGAAACGCGAAGAAGCTGTGACCTGCCAACGACGACGACGACGACGACGACGACGACGACGACGACGACTATGGTGGTGATGGTGATGATGGTGGTAGTGGTGGATGGCTTTTGTTAAGATCCATTTGAAAAGATGACGGTAACTGCAAAAGACCCTGAGGGTTCTCGATCTCTATCAATTTTTCACGATATCCCTAACGCGTTTTCTCTCTCGCCCTTTTCAATTTCCTTCGTCATTTTCGAGAACGTCAAAACGTTTCTCCCAACCACAATCTTTTTCTCCATTATTTTTAATTTTTCCTGAGTGCATAAACCTTAAACGACGAATCCATTTTAAAACTACAATGAATTGTTGTTTATTTATTTTTCTTTTTCTTTTTTTTGTTTTTTTGTTATTAATTCAATCGTCCAGAGACCAATGCGGTCAAAGAATCGATTTTTTTTCTTCTAAATTTTAATGGATATTATTTTTTAATTATCAAAAGATTTACACTCGGTGTCCTTAAAGTTTTGTAAGTTACTATTATTGTTCCAATAAATATTTACGTTTTTATTTGCACATCCTGTACAGAGTTTGTTTCGTTGCAACACTTATCCTTCGAAAAAAAAAATAACTTTATATATTTTTCTGATCTAATAAAGAAACTAAAAATGTTCAAAAAAACATTTTATCTTTTCTTGAGTTTACCTTACGAACGATTCAATTAACTTTTTCCAGTTACCCGATTGCATTATGAATAGCAAATATTAAAAGCAAGTGCAATTTATTTCTTTCTAATTTCATTATTAAAATGATAATTAATTAAATTATACTCGGATTTTCTCTTGAGTAATTAATTTTTCTGCTACAACACAGGTTCATGTGCTTAAATGTTTTAAATGTATATATATATATATACATTATAAAATGTATATATATAATATATAGAAGCAATGACGCACGAGAATATTTTGTAATCGAGCAAAGAGACTACAGATAATCTTACCATTCACTTGTAACAAGACCGACGTTTAGAAATGCGTTTCTCTTTTATAAACTTCACGAGATCTTTCTTATAAACACTCGACATAAGATATTCTATAGCGAACACGAATACAGAATGAATCAAAAGTTTTTAGCTGATTAAACGAAAAAATCAGTTGCACGATGTGTGGAAGGCTATTTGGAAGCCTGAAAATTTACTCTTTTTGTTAATTTTTGTTTCCTGTTTTTTTTTTCAAATAAGAACTTTAATAAAAATAAAACCTTGATTAAGATAATACAAAGATCATAATAATCGAAAAAATTATTTTATAATTTAAAATCTGTGTGATAACAAAATGGAAAAAAATTCATTTTCCTAGGAATTATTTTAACAAACACGTGATCGAACATTATTCTTCATTTTACAATGAAAATACCAAATGGATTGAACGAAAAGTTTATACGTTCCACGCGGCATGGAACGTGTTAACGAAAAAAAAAAATTTTCGATTTTTTGAATTTGATAAATGGCTCTCTCTCTCCCCCCCTCATCCTCCCTCCTCTAAGGCCAATTTACTTCATGGATTACAAAAACTAGGAACGTAAAAATTCGAGTTGCGCTAAAAATAAAGTTTTCTATCATTCCTGAAACTCGAATTTAATATCTCGATCCGTGTTAAAGAGAAAGAGAGAGAAAGAGAGAAAGTGCATATGAGTAAGAAAGAGAGAGAAAGTGTGTGTGTGTTTGTACGCGCCTGTGAGTGAGAAAGATAGAAAGAGATAGGAGAGAAAGCAAATAGGCAGGATTAACGCGCGTTACGGGTAAAAGTCAGCCGATAACTCTTGCGGGCTTTTGGAAAGGGGTGAGAAGGTTTTTGGCTGTGGTAGTAGTGGTTATGGCGATATTGGTTGGTGGTGGGTTGCTTTCGGTTCTCGCGAAAGGACGCAGGGTGGTGATGGTAGCGGTGGTAGTGGTAGTGATGGTGGGGGTGGGATGGGGTTGCGTTTATCGCGCATTCCGACCGCGCGAAAATAATTAAATTTCCAAAACTAATTACGGTTCGTTGCAATTATAACTCTCGGCGACATTCATCCGTGAACCGGCAGTCGTTCTCCCTCCCCCCAATCCTTTACCCCTTAGAAATCCAGAGATAAAGAGGCAAGATAGTTTCCGCGCGTATATGCGTGAGTGTTGTATTTATATTTAATGAGTATGTGTAAACGCATACATGCGTTACACATGGAAAGAGTGAGGGTAAATAAAGGAGACAGAAGGGAACCTTCATCGACGAAAATTCAACGGAGACTTGCCCTGCTAGATTTTGTCCCGCACGTCCCTTCCTTTCCCTTTAGGGACCGTATTGTGTTTGCTGTACCATGCTCTACCTCGGTCTTTCATCGGTTTCCTCGTAGCAAAGAGAAACGCGTGAAAAGGTTCCTTTCTTTCTTTTATTCTACCATTCTTTCTTTCTTTCTTTCTTTCTTTCTTTCTTTCTTTCTTTCTTTCTTTCTCGGAAAGAAGACAAGACTGGGGAGGGAAAGAAGAAAAGGAGAAGAATGAAAGGACGATTAAGACTAAATTTACGCAACACCCTTCAATCTCAGAGATTATATCGTATTTAAAATTAAGAATATTATAAATATTTTCTTAATTAATAGATTTATAATGAATTTGTATTTTACTTTACGTCGTTAGAAATACACAAATTTGTCACTTTGTTTTATAGGACGAATTAAAAATAATTTGATCCCTTTTCGATCTTCATTACTGATAAATCAAAACAAAAAGGTATAAATACACTCTAGCACGTAAAAGAATAAGAATAAATCGGTGGTGGTGCGATCTAAAACGCAACTCCCTCTTCTGATGCAAATCGCGATCCTTTAACTAGCTGACGTTTCAACCCTTCGCACTCACCCTTCGTGATACCACAACTCTCAGGCAAGCTCCACAACGTGTTACTCCGTCCTTCCTTCCTTCCTTCCTTCGAGTTTACGCTCCGTGACTTAAATTAACCCCGCGTGGATCCACCTACCCTTCTCCACCTCTTCTTTACCTCCTTTACCCTCGATCATCCCTTTCTACGAATAACCGCTTACTAGAAACGGTTCATAAGTCAGTCACGAAACCCGTCGGGAGAAATAGAAGGAGGTGGGGTTTGAACCGTGTTTTCTCTCCTTTTCTTGTTCGGCACGAATCATCTTTATCGTTCAAATTTACTACTATCTATTCTAGATTTACAGATATTCTCTATGATATATGTTTTGATATCTATTCAGAAAAAAAGATCGATTAGAAATTATTCTACCTTCAATAAGTTGAATAATTGAATACTTTCAATCATGATTCGAATTGGTAAATTAAAATTATTATTACGTAAAATTGTAAGTAAAATTTAACAAAAAAAAAAAAAAAAAAATGAGTCACATCACATTATTTTAAATGAAATTAATTTAATGTAATTTTAATGATATTGTCGAAAATGAATCGTTAGATAGTGATTGTTATTTTAACATTATATGGAATTCATTTAATGTTCAAATGTAATCCTTTAAATATCTCGAAACAAGATATATATATGTATAA